GTTCCCCCATTTTTATATGCGATTTTTTAGAGATTGCAATTTGATGTGGTAACTTTTATTTTATGCCAATTTCATCTTAAAAAAATCGCCATATATTTTGAATCGAAGTTCTCATTAAATTACAAACATAAACCTTAATTAAATAAAAGAGTTTTGTAGAATAACTGAAACAAATAAAATAAGAGGTCATTCATTAATTTTAAATAAGAGACTGAATGAAAAATGAATAGTAAAAGATGGTGGCAGCGAATTCATGCTACTAGTTAGCTGCAATTTCACCGTTTGGTTCAATGATTTAGACAAAATCGATGAAAAATAAAAAGCACTGTTAAAATTAGGAACTAACAAATGTTAGTGGACTAAAACTGTATTTTTTTTTTTTACCTAATCTCAACATCTCAAATTAAGTACTATAGTCTTAAATTACCATGACCATCAAAATTGTCTTATGTTGGCTAGATTCAAAGGTGAATGATCAAAGCATAATAACTAGGTTTTCATGATTAGGATCTAGCAAGCCTTGAATCTAGCTAGAGATTTTGTGGTTTGCGATTAAACTTTTGAACTAAAATTAGTCTTATATAGGCATAATTTTTATGTGATCCACACATTTTTACTCGAGTGGGTAGGACGTTGATTAATATTACTTTAAAATCAAACTTTTTACACCAATTTAATTATATGGAACTTTGTGAGGCTGCACATTAATTAAAAAAGACTTTATTTTGCCTCGTTAGCTAGGAATGGGATAATAAAATTCGTAATTAATCTTCAATCAGACAAGAAATACAACTTTTCAATGGTCTTTGACGTACTAATGCGTGAAGGAAGAAAAAACATAAACAAATAAAGGAAGAAAGAGAAGGGATATATATGGATCCTAGCTAGCTGCACTAAGGGTTAATGAAGAGTACGTAATAATACTTACTAATTGATAAATAATAACAATCAATTTTGTTCTAGACTCACAATTGATAAAAACAACTCTGATTTTACATATTGAAAGTTGTGAAAGCATATCATCATGTTATAAATGAAGCTAAACAAATTCAATGAATTAACGAATATTATTGTTATGAGAGGCAAATTGTCTGTAAAACTATTATTATTATTTTTTTTATCTCCATATATAATTTACAGCATTAATTAACAACATTAGTCCATGGCATTTAAAATCGTAAAATTAAGAAAATAATATAACTTACAGTATATATTATGCTTGCCATTTTGTACATATAACTAGTAATATTGTAATACGTGTATACAGCACAAGTGTTAATTGAAAGAAAAAATAGAGTATAAATTTTAATTTTTAAATCATTTCTTAAAAATACATACTTTTATATACATACAAATATAGATATCACTTATATTTTATAAATATAGCTATAGTACTATGTAGCCATGTAGGGGTCTTATTATATATGCTCGAGGCTTTTGGCTTTAGCTTCACAATATTCCCCTCTTTCTCTCTATATTGCGCGTTACTGTTTTGTCCCTTGCTTCTAGGGTTTTTCTTCTTTTGCAACCTCAAAGCTCTTTAAAAGTTAAAACCAACACTCAAGGGCTAGCTAAATCACTTATATTTTTTTGTGAATCATGTGTCAAAGCCCTCAAGAATCTTGTTAGATACAAAGAAGAAGAGTGAGGTCGTGATTCCTGATAAGTCATTAATTTCTTAAGGACAAAAAAAAAAAAAAA